TTTCAGGTGAGGTTTGGCCTCCGCCAGGGCTGCGCTTTGTCACCAATCCTGTTTGTAATATACATGGATCGGATTCGATCCATGTATATTACAAACAGGATTGGTGACAAAGCGCAGCCCTGGCGGAGGCCAAACCTCACCTGAAANACATCAAACTATTCAAAAGAGGTATAAAGGTAGCAGAGGAGGAACATGCTAAACCATAACTGTTTATATTCTTCTTTTGTATTCTATTTATGAATTTGTGTTTGTATGAATTTGTGTATGTACTATGTGTATATATATAAATATTTAGAGACCATTCTCCTAACTGGGCCTGTATATATTATAATGAATGATTATATAAATTATTCAAGGCTAAAGTATAACAATTTATATTGTATGTTTAACATATATTAAGATCAGTGGCGGCTTGGTGGAAAATATTTTTGGTGGGGCTGTGGAAATGGTGACAAAACCATACAGGAGGCGGTCCCGGGGGATCGTCCCCCGGAATGATTTTTGAGAAATGACCCCTTCAATATGACTTCTGGTGAATGTAAGAAGGGGGGGGGACCGCGGAACACTGGTGTTTTGGGAAGACTAAAATGATTTAATAATTCCCATTTAAAATCATTAAACTAAATACGAACATTGTGTGCGTGTGTGTGTGTGTGTGTGGTGTGTGTGTGTGTGTGTGTGTTGTGTGTGTGTTTGTGTGTGGTTTTGTTGTGTGTGTGTGTGTGTGGTGTGTGTGTGTGTGTTGTACTTGCACCCTCCCCGATTTTCGCGGGAGCCTGCCCGCATTTCCTCCCCGATTTCGACCAAATCAGATTTACTCACGAACTGTTTCCACTCGACTTTAATACAGCTACACCATTGTTTTGGTTTCCATGGTAGCGCTTCTCCTTTAGCAGCGCGCAACTCCAAAGTCTGAGGAGGGTGAGGAAGATGAAAACTGAACAAGAATCGACACGTCGACCCTCTGATCACTCCCTTTCCTGTAAATACAAGGCCAGCCCACACATATGCTCCATGGTGGCCACAGGATTGCCCTTACAACTACAAATAAGCATGTAAATGTTCCATCTACAGCTCCGCGATCCACGTAGCACAAGGCAGGTCTACAGCCTGCAGACAACTACTGTTAGCGTCACCCCTGGATACGAGCCCCAAACAAACTCACAGACACACAGGCCAGGGCGCTGAAAGGGCGCCCCTTTGAGCATCAGATCTGAACCGACGCTGATTGGCTGAAATTATGTTTCGGCGCATAGTTTACAGATAGGCAACAGTCAGCTTTGTTGGCTGCAGCTGCTCTGGCTGGAGGGCTCCTTTCTACCGCCCGCACGAGAGAGGGTAATGATACACGCTGTGGCCAGCCAGGAAAACATGTGACTTATCAGTAACTTTTAGACATCTAAAACAATTTTTAAACAAGATTTTATTGTAGATTATACATTTTACTGATACCAACTATATAATATTTACCATTTTTTTTGAATATTTACCTTTGTTCTTTAAAAAGAAAAAAATATATATTTTTTGGAAATTATATTTTTAAATTTATTTTTAATTTTTAATACAATCAAACATGTGGGAAGAGGGGGGGCGGCGCCCTAGCGCCCCCGCCCGCCACTGATTAAGATATTTTCTTAATTTTCCGACCCCTTTTCGGACAGTTAAATTTAAAGCTAAAACTTTGTTCGGTTTATTGATACCAGACAATTGATACTACAGGTTATTCAATTATTAATTAAATGTTTCGTTTTGTTATTGGCATTCCATTTGTATATGTACTGTTATCACTGTCTGTATCGTCTTTTGGTTTCATTTTGTATTTTCTTTGGGTTTTAGACGCTCGAAATAAAAAAACTAAACTTAGCTTATCAATATGCACGCCAAAATCGGACTTTCTGCGTATCTATGTATATTTTTTTTGTCAGCTGACCACTTCTTCATAATGTGTGGAAGTTGGCGTGTACATTTAGTCCGCAGCAGACCTATTGGGAAGAGTAAGATGTTGAGTTTACTGGAGGCAGATGTAGATGATTAGCACTTAGCAGTATTGAGTATGTGAGTCAGATGTTGACGTCCATTGGAGGCAGATGTTTACGGTACCACTGGAAGTCAGATGTTGAATGAACTGCTGATTTTTTCCATTTAATAAACGGGAATATCATGTTAAATGGAATCTGTGTAGTTGTGTTGATGCACAGCGATCATCATTATGTAAAAATGGAATATAATTATCTATCATCTGCATTTGGAGCGGCACCTTATCCTCCGTTGCTGTGCTTGAAACTAAAGATCCTGAGGTAGATAATAAAGGAACTTATAACAGTAAACATGTTAACAATTCAAAGCTTTCGCTTGTTATTAATTCTAATTCCTCATATCAGCTTCTTGTGAAGACGTCTGGGACGCATAGCTCCGCTCTTCTCATTCGTGGTTTACATTTCTATTTGGATAGGGAACCATAAGTGAACATGATACGAACAGAGTGGATTGTGGTATTGATCATAGCATTATGGTCTACTACAGTGTAAATATACAGTTTTCCAGTCATCATCATGAAACCACTAGGTACACTACAGAGAAGCAAAATACCATAGGTTGACACTAACACATAACACAGTAACTAAACAATGAGTCTATAGACATACACTGTGCAAATATCTCATCTACATTATCCTAAATTAAGACGAAACCAAAACCTTCACAGTGGTAGACTCAGTCGGACACAGCTTCATACAGTTAAACTCAACCTACAGATAAAGTTAGCTGACTTCACCTCCAAATACTCCATTACTGTACCCCATAAACACTAACTGAAACGTAAATGTAGAAATGCTGAGCACACAGTTTATAGTAACAATGCCAAGAAAAGATAATGAAGAGTGTTAGTAAGCGAGTGACTATCTGTTCACATACAGAGCCTGCAGCTAAGCTGAGCTAGTCACGTCAAGCTTTGAATTGTAATTTCTAGCCTAGGTTCTTGCAGCCAGCTAGCTAAGCTGAGCAATTGGCAGGGCGTCGTACGACCCGGCGTGCTCACGACTCGCAATGTCACGTCCAGCAGGAGCTGAGACTGCATGCCGGTAGGTCAACTCATATCATGTTTAATCATAGTACACAAAGCTTAATAACGATTCAGACCGACGTAGGAAGTCAGTCTCTAGCCACAGTAAAGGTTGACTAAGAAACATTCAGTATCGCATTTCTGTCACACTGATGAACTTACTTACCACTGTTACTTGTTTTGTCTATCATGTTCATCTTTTTGCATGATACCTAATACATACTAGAAAGATAAAGTCTCTTGATTTGATCATTTCGATGTCATCAGATATTTTGAAAGACGATCATAGCACGCGACGTGCCACTGACCAGAAGTGAGTCCTTGGATAAGGCTGGTCCCATAGAGAAGGTCTTTCTACTGATTATAATGGCCCCCACTATTGTAGATTAACTGAAGTGATGGAAGCTTATGGCAATGTATATCTGATGATATATAATGTTTTCCGAATTTTGCATAAGAACAATACATAACGACACGTTTATGATTCAGTGTCGCTCGGCTATTAGACTGATCTGGACCCTAACGTTTGAATACCTGCCTGTTCGCAAGAGCCCTGCATAATTGTTCAAAATAACCGAATATCAACTCAACTGCGCAACAACTTCATCTTAAATCCAGCAATAAATCAGCCCTTTGCACTGAGACACTCCCGAGTTACACGAGGGACACAGAGTTTCAGCAGAGGAGGCGTGACAGAGCTCCTCCCTCACTGACTCACCTGAGACTAACCAGGGAAACAGTTTAGTTCCTCTTCCTCACTGCAGAGAGACAGACGGACTGGAAAACAGACGATCAGATTCACCTTCAGACCAAACTAACAACTTCCTCTCTGAGTTCAGCTACAGGGAGAGAAAAAAGATGGAAACTACAGCCCCTGCTGGCTTCAACCTGCGGACCCTCCACCCCCTTGAAGGTGAGTCTCCAAACACTCAGAGAGAATTTCAGTGAAGTCAGTAGAGGAGGGGGAGGGGGAGCCAATGACTGGACTGTACTTTCCTGTCTGCTGTGTTTCAGCTTCACTCAGAGACAACATGGCTTCCAGGTTAGAGGAAGATCTCTGCTGTCCGGTCTGTCAGGACGTCTTTAGAGATCCTGTTGTTCTGTCCTGTAGCCACAGCTTCTGTAAAGCCTGTCTGAAGACCTGGTGGAGGGGGAAACCATCACTAGAGTGTCCAGTCTGTAAGATAGAATCTTCAGGAAGGAATCCCCCCTGTTACCTGGTTTTGAAGAACCTGTGTGAGGCCTTCTTACTGGAGAGAGGTCAGAGACCTCCAGAGGCTCTCTGCAGTCTAGCACTCTGAGAGACTCACACTCTTCTGTCTGGACCATCAGCAGCCAGTGTGTCTCGTCTGCAGACATTCAGAGAAACACAGCCAGCACAGATTCAGACCCATGGATGAAGCTGCTCAGGATCTCAGAGAGGAGCTCCAGAAAGCTCTGAAGCGCTTTAAGGAGAAACTGTGGCGCGTTGAAAAAGGTAAATTTGCGCTTGATCAAACAGCAGGACACATGAAGGTCCAGGTCCGATGCACAGAGACGCAGATTAAGGAGCAGTTCAAGAAGCTTCACCAGTTTCTAGAAGAGGAAGAGGAGGCCAGGATGGCTGCACTGAGGGAGGAAGTGGAGCAGAAGAGGAGGATGATGGAGGAGAAGATGGAGGCTGTGAGCAGAGAGATAGCAGCTCTTTCACACACAATCAGAGCCACAGAGGAGGAGCTGAGAGCTGAAGACGTCTCCTTCCTGCACAACTACAAGGCTGCAGTGGAGAGGCTGCAGCGCCCCCTGCTGGAGGCTCCACAGCTGCCCTCAGGAGCTCTGATAGACCAGGCCAAACACCTGGGCAACCTCAGCTTCAACATCTGGAACAAGATGAAGGACATGGTGTCCTACTCTCCTCTCATCCTGGACCCAAACACTGCTCATCGAGAACTCGTCCTGTCTGAAGATCTGACCAGAGTGAGACTAGGAGGAGAGAGACAGGAGCTTCCTGATAATCCAGAGAGGTTTGATCATCACCGCTCTGTCCTGGGCTCTGAGGGCTTTGACTCAGGGACTCACAGCTGGGATGTCCAGGTTACAGACAGTACATACTGGGTACTGGGCGTGTCAGCAGAGTCTTTCCAGAGGAAGGGACACAGAGAGTCTGGATTATGGAGACTAGGTTTCTATAAAGGTGAATACGCAGCATGCTCACCAAGGTTATCAGGTTCAGACACTCCTCTCCCCCTGCAGAAGGAGCTCCAGAGGGTCAGAGTGAATCTGGACTGGAACAGAGGAGAGTTGTCGTTCTCTGATCCTGACACTAACACACACATACACACCTTCACACACACTTTCACTGAGAAGATGTTTCCATTCATTAACACTGCAAATGATGTGAAGATATTACCACTGAAGGTGTGTGTGACAAGGGAACAGAAGAGATAGAAATAAAGAGTTTGTTTGCGTTTATTATGTTGTGTTTTTCCTTTAAGGGAACAGTCACTGAATGTAACTTATCAATTTGAACCTGCTGTAGAATTATACCAAAGATAGGCTCATTTTATTACACGTGTGTGAATTGCTGCGTATTAAAAATGTCATTTACTCTTTGTTGTGATTTAGAGGTGTTTGTGTGCCCTTCTGTGAAGCACTCAGCTAACATACCTGCATGATTCTTGTTGTTCTGAGTTTTTATCTTTATTGCACTTATTGTAAGTTGCTTTGGGTTAAAGCGTCAGCTAAATTAAATGTAATGTAATTTTGTTTATTTTTCTATTGTCGAGCTTTACATCTGTTAAATGATTTCTGATCTTTATGTTTGGTTCTACCTTTCTATTGAATGAATTCAGTGTAATTTTAAAAATGTGTTTATCCTTTGTTTTGAATTGTTTGTAAAGAAAGATTTTAAATAAAAATCATTTAAAAGACAACTTCATGTTTGAACGTCCAATCATTGTTCAGATCTTACAGAGGGTCTGTTAAACCATATTCTCAAGCTAAACATGGACATAACTGAAAGAAGACAGATCGTTTTCTAAAATATATTTTAAGATTCAACATTTTGAAATGTTTTCTGATCAAGAAGGAAGAAAAGTAGTAGATTAATCATAGTTAACTAACTGTTGAATAATTCCTTTAATGCCTGAAATATTTTTGTTTTGTCCAACAAAGTAAGAAATCTAACTAATTAGATTATTAGCTTATGTCCGTTAGCTTGTTTAAAAAATAAAAAACGAGAAATGTAAGTTCCCAAAACTACTGCTTTGAAGCCTGATAGTTTTGTTTTGTCTTGCCCAAAAGTATTAAAGCTCACTTTTAAATCAGAAAGTTTAAGTGAGCTAGATTTTTAAGTAGATAGCTAACTATGGCTAGCTAGCTTGATAAATAGCTAATGGTCGTTAGCTTGTTTGAAAAATATGTTTTCAGTATTCTTACACAACACAAGGAACAATGCAGATTCCGTCCTGGTCGTGGAACGACGGATCAGCTTTTTACTCTCACAAGGATCCTGGAGGGGGCCTGGGAGTACGCTCATCCAGTCTACATGTGTTTTGTAGACTTGGAGAAGGCGTATGACCGGGTTCCCAGGGAGATACTGTGGGAAGTGATGCGGGAGTATGGGGTGAGGGGGTCTCTACTCAGGGCCATCCAATCTCTGTACTCCCAAAGCGAGAGCTGTGTCCGGGTCCTCGGCAGTAAGTCGGACCCATTTCAGGTGAGGGTTGGCCTCCGCCAGGGCTGCGCTTTGTCACCAATCCTGTTTGTAATATACATGGATCGGATT